AACAACTCAACCAACATAGATGTAAGACTCAACGAGATCTTTTAGAAAAAGTTGCAGTCATTCTCAAACTGTAGTTTGTTCAGGAGTTAGTGCAGGGTATCAGGAGGAAGAAGCCAGAACATCATTACCTCCATTCTTTTGTGCTTCTGCAATAACATGAAGAGCAAGTGTAGTTTTCCCTGATGCCTCTGGACCATATACTTCTACAACACGTCCCTGCCAGTGGCACATAAGATGATTATTCAGAAACAAAAGGCGAACCACTGTAAAGTGGAAGCAGTATAATTAAGTGAAATTACTTGACGTTGATGAGCTTTTCGTCACATATCAAATATAATATTCATTAGTGACTGATAGTTGCTTTTACCAGGAAAAGGAAGAAAATTGAGACAAGAACATTGAGGAAAATTCAACATGATAATAAGAACTATACCTCAGAAAATATAATAAACATCTCAGTCACCTATTCAGAGGCCACTTTCACAGACAACAAAAAAGCTTAGTTCCATAAAACAAAAGAAAGCAAGAAGAATGATAAAAGGCCAAGACTAAAGTACTATCTTTCACAAAAGGGTCATCATTGAAACAGACTCACAAACACTGGATACATTGCTGCATCAGAGAAAGAATTTACTCAGGAGGATTCAAAGCCTTATTGTTAATATTGTTTTCTATTTATCCATTTTGAGAATGCACACATAGTCCTAAAGGGAGGTAAACTTCTCCAAGGATTACATCACCCAACTAGCAAGGGAAACTAAAGCATGTTTCTTGAGGATACATCTCAGGTTCCTTATCCACTGAAGAATGTTTGTAATCTTAGCTTGTATAGTCACTGTTCAGCAAGGTCTATGTTGCTATTTCTATTGTTCCCTTTGTCACTACAAAAAGAATCATCCGATAGCATGCAAGCGATCTATAATATCAATAAATATGTTGCTTCGGAAAGCCAGATGAGCAATTTCATCTTCACTCTGAATGATGCAGGTGATCCAAGATATCAACAAACATGAATGCCTTCTTAGCCAGGTTAACAGGTTCATTATCTATGGTACCAACAAAGAAATACCACCTCAAAATGAAGATTAATTCAGAAGATAAGTTGAACAACATATGAAAACAAAATAAAGAACAGACAGAAATAACAATCTAACTGATCTAGCAATAAGTAGAGAACTAAGATTACCATTAAGACAAAAGAAAATAACAATATACAAGAAGATATTTCCTCAGATCTTCTATTATTTTAACTACCAGTACTGGAGAAGCCTACCGTTATTTAATTCATTTAATAGATAATCAGAAAAATAGAATAACAGTATAGATACTCGAAACATGAAAAATTAATTGACAATCATAAACCAATACCTTTGGAAGCCCACCAATTCCCAATGCCATATCCAACGAAAATGATCCTGTAGATATGACAGGCACTACCTTGGAAGCTTGAGAACGACCAAGCCACATGATTGAGCCCTCTCCAAATGCGGCTGTAATCTGATCCAATGCTTGCTGTAAAGCCAGTTCTTTGCCGGAGAGGTTTTGTTCAGCAGCGTCACTTCCATCTGACTTGGTTTTTTTTTTACCTAGGGCAGCAGGGTTTGTGATTTAGGTTCAGTTCAGCCAAATGAAAATGGTCAATTGCCTAGTTTTAGGATGAGACTGCAAATTTTACAAACAATTTAGCACATAGTTTTCACCTACAAGATTGCTACAAACCAAGATACAGAGAAGAATTTAACATCAAGGTATTTAACACAAGAACCATTATAGAAAATCAATAGCATAAATATTCCACTACATGTGAATTGTTTGCACCATTAACTAAATAAAGATTAAATATGTTGTAAGGTATTGATGAATTCATATTCAGCACAAGATAAATACAAGATCCACCTCAACACTTCATTTTACCTCAGGATTATCAATAAAAGGACAGAAAAGAAGAAAATGTGATCAGCTAGCATTCATCAGACAATGAGAATTTACCAAATTTCTTTACAGTTGAAGTGGTTTTTGTTCCTGTGCATATATTACAGCTAAAGCAATGATAAGGATGCCAAGATGCATGTTTAACGAAGTCTAACATATAATTTTTTTCATAATCTTATACAATCATATTTGCATGCACTACAAATTTCTATTACCTTTACTAGAGAAGTTGCAAACTTGTAAAGCAGATGCCCTGGTTCCTTGTCCATACATCTGCAAGTAGAAAATGCATGCAAGGAAATATTTAGTAACAAAACAAGAAACAACATAGTAGTCCAATGTTTCTAAACTAGGATTTTGAAGGCCAAACAATCTTCTTAGTTGATCAATTAATACTAAAGCCTTGATGCCTCAAAAGTGATAGACATATTTCATTTGAACTACCTCACTATGAATTCCTTTTTTTCTTATTCATCAATGAGTTAGGAATTTCTGGACAAACAAATTAATTAAGGAGAAAAAATATTTGGACAAATAAAAGTTAAATGATAACCTTACATGTTGGTCTCATCGTTTAACCGAAAACCCATTTCCCACATAGGAAACACTTCCAACTCAAAAAATAATTTCAAATAAGCGATGTTCTAAAACGTCGGTATATGTTACATTCTCAAGCTAAATAGCCTATCACACATGCTCCTGATATGTTCCACCTCTACTGAATAACCTAGTGCGACCCACTGTTTAATATATAGGATGGTTGCAGAAACGCTGCCCGCAGAAACGCTCCATAAACACAAAGATCTCTTTCTTTATTCCTATTTGTTGAACCTTCACATATTATACCTTCTTCCTGACTAGTATAACGAAGCCCCCAAAGAACTGAGCAGAACGCGTCTTTAGGATCAAAGAAGGTTTTTTTGTTTTTTCCTTTTCCGGTGAAAGAACCAAATCTTGTTAACTTAATGGCATAATGAAAAAGGTTGAAAGAAAATAACTTGAACCAGGAATAGGAATAGGACCTCTGAAGCAAAAAGGGCTCGCCTAAATGAAGCGCACCGAAGAAGCCTCGCCATGGCTCTCAACCACCAACAGGTCTGCTGCTTCCCACAGGAACCCTGACGAAGCAGGCGGTTGAGAAGACAAAGAAAAGGGAGCCTCAGTGCCGCACTGCGATGAGAGCAAGAGCGGTTCCAAACCCTCGAGGAGAGAATAGGGTTTAGGGTTCTGGTGCAGTATTTGAGGGGAGCCGGTTTGCCGAAGGAATGAAAGCGGCCGCCACAAAGTAAAACGATATATCCGAAACGATATATAATAGCAGGAAATATGGCACTATAGATCGATATGGACTATAATAGATTTCTTTCCTATTACCCAAACCTTTAATTAATTATTTTTCTCTATTTATTCACTTTAATCAATTAATTTTTTCTTTAATTAATTAAGCTCAACATCTTACGATAAACAATCAATTTTATTAGCTAAGCTATCTAACACCTTTAACTTAAAATATAAATTATTATTCATATTTATAGGAATAGAGAGGGACTGATCATATTTTATGAATCCAAGTATTGAGCTGTTAAGAAATGACATGAATAAAAAACTTATATATTTGAGAGAAGAATGTTGAAATACAAAATTAGTAGGTGAAATAAAAAAAATAAAAGAATGAAATATGAGGTTTAATGATTGAAATAAAAATTAAAATTAAAAAGATTTTATTATAAATAATAAATATATATATACTTTTTATTCGTTCTAACCTATTATCTTATATAGAGCTCAATTATGAAAATATAAGCATATAGTCATCAACCCCAAATAATTGAGATGTAATGATTTGGTTATTGTTATTGTTATTGATTTTAGAAGATGATGAACTTATAAGCATAATTTTATAATTTAATATTTTGAGATGGAATACTAAATTATTTCGACTTGATTGTCTTACGATGCTTCTGTCTAATATGGAGTTTGATATATACTCAAAATCAATATCGAGTGAGGTTCTTGATATGATTCCTTCGATATATCTAAAAATGATTAAGAAAAGTAGGACTAAGTGGGGATCTCAGTATGATCCCTCTGATGTCTAGATTTAACTACTAGTGGTCCAGAAAAAAAATTATATAGCAGAAAATATATTTGAATATTTTTTGTTCGATCGATGCTGATATGGCGGATGATGAAAGAAGGTTTTTGCTGTGATCGAAGAGGAATAATCCCCATCTCACTTAGTATGCAAGTTTTGTTGTATGCATAGTTTGCATTCTTGTACACAACTCAGTTCTCTTTCAAGTTGCTTGTTATTTCTATTACATACATACATACATAGGGCACCTTTTAAATTGCTTTGCTTAATTGTGTATGTGTGCCGCTTGAATTCAGTGTCTACCACATCAATATCTGCAACACTTAATTGAGTGCAGTGAAGTCACTTTGTTCTTGGTTTAATCCACTTGTAGTGAACTCCTGTCTTTTGACTACTTCATTAGTCATGTCTTCATCTCAGTGAGAAAGATAAATCATGAGAATTAGATGCAAGGATTGATCCCATGTCTTCTAAAGTGTGTGCAGGCAGATAAGAGAGAGAGAGAGAGAGAGAGAGAGAGAGAGAGAGAGACGATGATGATGATGATGA